TAAAGGAGCATTGTTTGAGTCTGGGACCACCCAGGCCTCCTGCTGGGCTGAGCCTGCCCACTCCTGGCCTCTCCCTGAGGAGGAGGAGGAAGGGAGGAGAAGTGACTTCGAGCTGCGACCTTGTCCCAGGCCACAAGATCCTGAGATGCAGGGGCCCTGCTCGCACTGAGCTGTGTCTAAGGGGAGACACACTCAGCAGTGGGTGAAGAGCACCCTAAGATCCTGGCACATGCTGGGAAGGAAAGATGCTGAGAGATAAAAGCAGGGGAGGAGGAGGTAGCCCGGAGGCCTCCCCGAGGAGGTGGCTTCTGAGCGAGGCTTGAGTGCCTAAAGATTCATAAAGTCACATGGGGGCGGTGCAGCAGTAAAGTCGCTGCTCAGGATGCCTGCATCCCCTCTCAGGGTTCCTGGGTTCAAGTCCCGGCTCTGTTTCCCGTCCCATCTTTCTGCTGATGCCCACCTTGGAAGGCAGCTGGCAATGACGGCTCAGGTACTTGGGTGCAGGCTCCTGGCTGTGCTGGACAAGCAGCAGCAGATGGAAGATCTCTGTCTCTCTGTCTCTGCCTTTCAAATAAAATGCAAATAAATGAGTAGAAATGAGCCAGAGCCAGTTGCAGGAAGAGCAGGTGGGGGGGTACAGCGAGAGTGAAGGGCTGGAGGTGAGAATGACGCAGGTAAACTTGAGAAAGCCCCAGTGGACATCTGCATGTCCACTCCCCAGATGGCCTTACCAGCTGGAGCTGGCCCAGGCCAAAGGCAAGAGCCAGGAGTTCCATCTGGGTCTCCCACGAGGGTGCAGGGGCCCAAGCGCCCCAGCCATCCTCCACTGCCTTCCCAGGGGCATTAGCAAGGAGCTGGATTGGAAGCGGAGCAGCTGGGACTTGAACCAATACTCCAATATGGGATGCCAGGGTTACAAGGGGTGGCTTAACCTGTGCTGCAATGCCGACCTCTGTAAATAAAGTTTTATTAGAACACAGCCAGGCCCCTTTGTTTGTAGCTGCCTTCCCACGGTAGTTGCTGCAAATCCTAAACACTGGCTCTCTGGCTCATTGTAGGAAAGGTTTGCTGAGCCCCAAGCACTTTACATCTGAGAGTACTTCAAAAAGATCCTGTTTCATTGTATGTATGAAATACGTGAAATTTGTTCCCTTTATAGACATTTAAAAAGTAAAAAAAAAAATTGGAAGAATGGAATTAAAAATACATTTACTTTGATGAAAAATGTTTTGAAACCCAGGGGTTTTGGGAAAAGTTCTTAGAAAATGTATATCAAGAAGAAAATTGCACGTGGATTTCAAGAGTTTTTTTGTACCAAGATAAACTTACCTTTTAATTACGTTCTGCCCTGAGTTTGTTGATGTATTCTCTTATGATAGCCACCTAATCCTTACGATGGCAGCATGGTGTGGGAACTGTTGTACCCATTTTGCAGGTGGGAATGTGAGGCACAGAATGGTCGAGAAACTGGCCAGGTTGCCCAGGTGGCAAGCGGAGCTTCAGAGGCTGTGCTGCTTGCTACCTCCCTGCCTTGCTACCCCCTATGACAGACAGAATCCCAGCAAGTGCTCCTCAGACAGCCCACCAGGTGCCCTCGGGCCTGAAACAGGAGATCTGCCCAGCTAAGACCCTGAGGCCCAGGTAGTCCAGCTCCTGAGGGCAAGTTGCTCATCTGGCCATAAAGCGTGGGAACCAGCCGGGCCCAGGCCCTACCCGGCTGCCGGTTGGCATGACTCACGCAGGTGCTGCCTGGCCCAGCTGTTCTCAAGTCTGGCAGGCGGAGGAGGCGCCCGGGGCCTCTGGCTCCTCCCCCTCTCAGAGCAAGCTCTGGGCTTTTGTAAAGGGGCCCCTTCCTCCCCGCAGGCCAGGACAGTAGCCACGACTGGGCCATGTGTGCCCACAGCGTGCATTCCCTCAGCCACGCCACCCCCGTCTCAGTTGCCTGAGAGTCCCCATGGCTAGGGGGTCCCCGTGTTGGGCAGCACGGATAGAGCGGGTGCCCTGGCTTGGACTGGCGCCTGCTACCCCACGTAGCTCAGAGGCAGAAGCCTGAATTAGGTCATCACTTTTCTGCCGTCCACCCCTCTCCAGTGGAAGCCCGTGTCCTGATCGTTACCCACAGCCCTGTGTGGCCTCGCTTGTTTCTTTTCTTGCAAGTTTTTATTTATGTATTGTCACTTTATCTGAAAGCCAGAGAGACAGACAGAAATCTTCTATTCGCTGGTTTACCTCCCCAAATGCTCTAACAGTCCGGGTTGGGCTAGGCTGAAACCAGGAACCTGGATCTCAATATGGGTCTCCCACTTGGATAGCAGGGACCCTGTGGCCTCCCAGGGTGTACTTTAGCAGGAAGCAGAGCTACAGTTCAAACCCGGCTCTCTGTTATTGGATGCAGGTGTCCCCGTTGATGTCTTAACTGCTGTGTCAAATATACCCCCCAAGCGTCTACTTTGATTGGATTGGTGGGTGAGCCAATGCTGACCCCATCATCAGATTCATTCATTCATTCATTCATTCAGCAGGTATACACTGAGCATCCGGCATGTGCCAGGCTCTGTGCCGGGCCCCAAGGAGGCAGTGGTGGTGGAGAGAGACCGGGCCATGTCCCGGTGGAGGCTTTAGCTGAGTGAGCAGCGAGAGGGTCTGAGGCAACACAGAACACTGGTGAAGGATGGACTTGTGAGGGGGCTGGTGGGAGCGAAGGAGGCAGGAGCAAGTCCTCCTCCACCTCTCCAGAGCCGCGACCCCCAGCCCAGGTCTGGCACAGGGAGGGGCTACATGCACGCCAGCCATCACAGAATGCATTGCTCCGGCAGCTGGCCAGCAGCCCAGGCCCAGTGACCCGCGAGGTCCCTTCTTCCCCAGAGTTTCCATGATCCTGTGTGTGTGGGAAACCGAACCTTGCAGGAGACTGAGCACCAAACACGGCCGGCGTAGGCGCCTGGCAAGCAGGCTGGGGAGCTGGCGGTGGTTCTCGTGCCTCTGAGATCACCCTGGGCTTGTGCCCACGCCCTGGCAGGGCTCATGTCCACTAGTGGGATGGGGGCTCCCGTGGAAAAGCTGTCCGGGAAGAAGCTAGGACGTGAGGGTGCTCTCCAGACTTGCCTGCGTCCACCCGTTCGCTCACTCGTTCATGCATTCCCTCTGCGGATGGAGGCCTTCGCGGGGCAGGGCACTGCCCGGAGCCCCAGAGAGACCGACTTTGTCCTTAACGGGGAAGAAGACCAGATGGCAGAGAAAGTAGCTGTGGCCGCCCCTGCCCCCAGGTTCCCTGTAATTACCCAGGTCCCCTCCTGCCTGAAGAATAAACTCCCGATTGCCGAGCTCTGGCTGCAGAGGCCAAGCAGTTCTGGGCATTCCCGGATGGAGGCGTCCCACTGGCCCCGGTGTGGTCCCTCCTCCCACGTGGGTGACCGTGGGCCTTAAAATGACCTGGCTGATGGTGACACTCTCGGTGCACTAACTCAGTAGACGTTTTATGTTTTCAAGATTTATTTATTTATTTGAAAGGCAGAGTTCGAGACTCTTCCATCCTCTGGTTCACTCCCCAGTGGCCACAACAGCCAGAGCTGGGGCAGGCCAAAGCCAGGAGCCAGGAACTCCATCTGGGTCTCCCCTGGGTGGCAGGGGTCCAAGCACTTAGGCCATCATCCACTGCCTTCTCAGGCATCTTAGCAAAGAGCTAGATGGGAAGTGAAGCAGCCAGGACTTAAACCCAGCTGTGTTGGTTCACAAACAGCAGCTTAACCCTCTGTGCCCCAATGCTGGACCCTCAGTAGGCATCTGAGAGTGACCATCAGGAGAGGTTAAACACACACAACCACGTATATACAGAGAGAGAGAGGGAGGTCTTCCATCCATTGGTTCACTCCTCAAATAGCTGCACTAGCCAGGGCTGGGCAAGGCTGAAACTAGGAGCCAGGAGCTTAATGAGATCTCCCACGTGGGTACAAGGGCCCAAGTACTTGGCCAAGTACTTTCCAAGGCGCATTAGCAGGGAGCCGGATCAGAAGTGGAAGCAGCCGGGACTGGAACCCGTGCGCATTTAGGATACCGGCATCACAGCCGGCGGCTTTAGCCACTGTACCACACCAGCCCCAACCCCAGTATTGTTATATTGTTTCTCCAACCCCAGTATTGTTATATTGTTTCTAATTCCGTCATCACCATCATGCTGATGAGGCCTCTGGTCTTGTATCCTCCATTTCTGAGAAAATTGTGACTCCAGGATGACCGTATGTGCCGCCCGGGTGGCCTGGCTGGTGGGTGACAGGCCAGCGCTTGAAACCAAGCCAGGATGCAGCTGCAAGCCTGGGCCCTGACCTCACTCCGTCACTGAATATTCAGGAGGTCGGTGCTGGTCTCTGTTCAAAGACCTTTTTTCCTGGTGAATAATAGTGCTTTGTTGCTGCTCAGAGCAGGAGTGGCCTCCAGGGCCCCGCCCCGCCCCCATGTCTGCGGAGGGTGAGCAGTGGACAGCAGTGTGTCATATCCTCAGGGGGTGCTGGGCAGGGAAACCAAGGGTGAGTAATCCTCTCGGACAGACTTGCCCATGCCTACAGGCAGGTGCACGTGTCTGGCTCATCTGTGCTGGGACCGCTGTGCCTTCCTGTCTGAACTTGGCTGTCAGAGTGAGGCAAAGATTACAGGTGTGTGTGTCAGAGCAAGCCTTGGCCTGGCTGCTTTCCCAAGCCTCGCCCAGCCGTTCTTCCTTGAACTCGGCACCAGCTCTGTGCCGACGCCTTCACGTAGAGCACCTCCCTTGGTGCGCGTAATGGGGCTGGCATGCCCTGTCCCCTGCTTGGCCTCACAGACTCCACGGTGACCCCCTAACAATGGTCAGGGCAAAACGTGTCTGACCCACAGCACTCAGGGGCTGCCTGCCGCCTCCCTGACCTCAGCTTTTCTGCTCTGGGTCCCCCTATTGTTGTCCAACGTGCCGCTTCCCCGGCAGCGGTGGCTTAAGCCGTTTTGTTCTTTCTGCTGATTCTGTACATCAGGAGTGCAGCAGGGCCCGGAGGAGACGGCTCGCACCGCTGCGTGTGATGTGTGCCGGGGGCGGAGCGTGCAAGACGGCCTCTTCTCGGCGGTGCCCGGTGAGGATGCCCCGGGAGCTGGGGTGCAAGGCTGGGGCCGCGGTTCTCGCTGTCCGCCCGTTCCCTGGGGCTCCTCCCTCTAGGTTTCGGGCCTCTTCCTTGTCCATAGGGTGGCGCTAGCGTAGCCCAGCTTCTTAGGCAGCAGCCCTGGGCTCCTAAGGGCACAGAGTGGAAGCTGCCCAGGCCCTTTGATGACGTGGGGTTGGAGCCAGCAGAGCTTCTGTTCTGTCATATCCAGCTCAGATTTAAGGGAAGGGGACACCAGCCAAAGAACCTACCAGGCCCTTGTCCATGTCCTCTCTTCCAGCCACGGCAGTCTGCAATGCTGTTCCTCAGACATGCCGCTCTCACCTCTGCACCGGGCCTTTGCACCTGCTATGTCCCTCTGCCCAGGGTGCTCGTCCCCAGAATGCTCCAGCTGAATGTCACCATGATAGAAACCACACCTGACCCACACCTTAGCACACACAGTGCAACCCCCTCCCCATTGCCTCCAGCCCCTTCCTCTACATGGGTTCCTTTCATCTCACTCATCACCTCTTATTGCCAGTTTATTTCCTGATCTCCTTCTCTCCTACCTCAAGTGTAAGTGCCACGTGAGTAGGACGGGCACTTTGTTCACCGTGGTTATGTTTGTTGAATGAATATTCAGGATGAGGAAACTGAAACTTAGCCAGGTTAAGTAACTTTCCGAAGAAACACAGCCAGTCATCTACAGGGGCAGGATTCAGCCCCTAGCAGGAGGCTAACACAGCTTCCTCCCACTGGGCTGATGCCTGGGGTCATAATGGCTGCCTGTGTCCTCCTTCCCCTGAGCTCAGTGACCTTCCTACAGTGAAAATATGATCAGACTTAAGGCCCACCGTGAATGTGGCTTCCCTACCCCTCCACAGAAATCCCACCTCCTTTAGACCACTACACAGGGCATGGCCAAGCTGAGCCTCGGCTGTGGCCTGATGTTCTAGAAAGATCGTGGGTCTTGCCGTCAGAGAGACCTCTTTTCTAGAACCCCTGGTCACACACTTTCTAAAGACAGGCACGTCAGTTATGCCCTTCATTCATTCATCCACAGAGTATTTAACGTGTGCCGGGGCTGTGCTGGGTCCTGGGGAGTGGTGGTGAGGCCATGAGCACGGTCCGTGCCCCTCTGAGAACGTAGCGTCTGATGGGGGAGAGAGCCGTGATTCACGTGGTCACACAGATAGTGGCGAGGGCTGCCAGGGACTTGCTGGGTACAGGGAGATGTGTAACAAGGCACCTGTTGTGGTGCGGGCAGGAGGGGACCGTGGGGGAAGTGGCTTCTGAGTAGTTTCATAGGGAGATGAGGTGGAGCAGGTTCATCCGGGCCACAGGGAACAGCACCCACAGAGGCTCGGAGGAGGGGGAGGAAGCTGAGCCTGTGTCAGTAGCTGAGAGACCCTATAAGATGTGGGAGTGGAGGAGCCAGAGAAGTGGAGTCAGATCATCAATGACTATTTGCTCATCTGCAAAATGGGCATAATAATAGTACTCACCTAGGTACTTGGGAGCATCTGGGGCCAGCGGAGGCTCGGCACCCCGAGGGCCGGTCTGGGATGGTCTCAGCCACCGCCATCCTCCTGCAGCTTAGCTCGGGCTTGTTCCAGCTTGCTCCAGGCAGAACTTGGAGCCTGCAAGCCCCTCCCGAGGCTGGAGTTGACCCTGGCCACAGCATCCCTTCCCCAACACTGGGAAAAGCCCAGTAAGTAGAAGTTATTATTGCCATGTATTTGTATAGTGCTTTTTGCTTTTCCAAGTTTTGCTGCCTGCATTGTCACACCCCGCATGGTGTGAGTGTGGGGATGGCGGGAGCAATTGCTACCTCCATTGGACAAGTGAGAAGCACACTTACAGATGGCATGCATACCACAAATGAACTCATCTGCAGCCTGTCCTTGCCCTTAGTGACATCCTGGCAAACAAACAAAAAAAAGATCCATAAGCTTTTGTCGCCGACCCAGGCTGATGATGCAAATCTCTTGGGCAAGTTGTGTCTTTTGGCTTCCCAGGCTCACAGGAGTGAATGACGGTTTCTTCTCTGACCAGAGAACCTCTCTCTGGACTCCAGTAGCTTCTCCTCGCCGCCCGTGAACTTCCTTCAAGAATTGCCAAGCTACCGGTCGGTGGCACGGAGGAGGACGACCATCCCGGCCCGGGACAAGCAGAGCGGTGCTCTGCTGAAGCCGACGGACTCCTACAGCTCCCACGTGGAGGGAGGCATAGCCGAGAACCTCAGCAGCCAGTCCCTTCGGAAGTACGCCCTGAACATTTCTGAGAAGCGGAGGCTCAGGTCTGTAGCCACGTGCAAGGGTGCGATGTGTGGTAGGGGCATTGAGTTGTTTCTAGAAGAGCTCATATATTGAGAACTTTATTCCTTAAGCTGGACTGCTAGGACCTAGACACCCAAACTTGGAAGAGCCTAACATATTGGAACTTTGCCTCTTGCGCACATGAAGTCCCAAGTTCAGGTTGGTGGGGTCTTTGCAGCCATTCAGGGACTAGGCGCCTCCCACCCATGGCTCTGCACCCCGTTCCAGGCATCATTGTTGGGATCCAGCAGCAGAAAGGAGGGGATGCAAAGGAGTGAGCGTGTCAGGCAGGCACACTGGATACCCATGAGTTAATAGCTTTACAACAGTTTCCTAAGTCTACAAGTCAGTTGGGCTATTTCTGTTTCCACTGGTCTCAGTACATGAGCACACTTAACAAAAGCTGGGTGTTGTGGTGCAGCGTGGTGGGCCACCACTCGAGGACACTGACACATCCCATATTGGAGCAGCACGATTCAAGTCAATGGTTGCCTCTGCTTCTGATCCAGCTCCCTGCTGCTGCACCTGGGAAGGCAGTGGAAGATGGCCCAGGTCCCTCGGGCCCCTGACACCCATGTGAGCAGACCAGGATGGAGCTCCTGCCCTCCTGGCTTCAGCCTGGCCTGGACCTGGCTGTCGCAGCCATTTGGGGAGTAAACCAGCGGATGGAAGAGCACTCTCTCTGTCACTCTTCCTTTCAAATAAATAAGAATGGATAAATGAACATTAAAAATAATTCCCAGGCATTGTCTAATGTCCCTTGGAAGGCAAAATCCCCCAGTTGAGAACCACTAGCCTGAGGGTGGGTACCTTATTAACCCCAGTTTACAGATAGGGAAACTGAGGGTAACACAACGAGGCCCATTTAAATGGTAGGGTCCATGGCCCTTCCTGCCCAGGAGCTCCCTGTCTAATGGAGGAGGACAGCCTAGAGGGCAGGTGGAGGCAGGTGCCATTGACAGTGAGACCCCACTGCTGAGTGGGGGCACAGCTGAAGTCAGGTGTCCACACACCCCACGCTTCGACTGCCTTCCAGCCACCCCAGACTGCTCTCCTCTCCTCTGGCCTTGGCACTTCTCTTTCCTCTGCTCCCTCTTATCTCGCCTCCAAACCAACTTGGACTTGGGGTGCCTTTCTGGGCCTCCCAAGCCCCAGATTCCCACAGGCAGTGCTCCCCCACAGGTATGTAGTTGTTGATTTCAGGATGTGGGTCCCCCTCTGGACTTGGTTGGCCAGTGTTTCAGCAAATAGTTGAGAAGCAGACACATAGACAGACAGTCAGACACACACAGCAGTGCCCGACTTCTGGTTCACTGCCCAGATGCCCATAGTGCCTGGGGCTGTGGCTGTGCGGGGCTGGAACCAGGAACCAAGAACTCCAGGTCTCCTCCTCGCAGCAGAGACCTAAGTTCCCAAGCCGTTATCTGCTGCCTCCCAGGGTGCGCCTTCGTGGGAAGCCACGTGAAAATCAGGAACTTCATCATGCATCTTTTTTTTTTTTAATTACTTTATTTATTTGAAAGTCAGAGTTATACAGAGAGAAGCAGAGCAGAGAGAGGTCTTCCATTCCATGGTTCACCCCCCAAATGACCATAACGGCCAGAGCTGAGCTGATCTGAAGCAGGAGCCAGGAGCTTCTTCCAGGTCTCCCACAGGGTTACAGGGGCCCAAGGACTTGGGGCCATCTTCTGCTGCTTTCCCAGGCCACAGAAGAGAGCTGGATCGGAAGAGGAGCAGCCGGGACTAGAACCGGCGCCCATATGGGATGCTGGGACTGCAGGGTGGGGCTTTAACCTGCTGGGCCACACACGGCCCCTAATCATTGGCATCTCAATCATTGCATTAAGAGCGCCGCTCCTGAGTATTGTGTGTCCCTGTGCAGTTGCCTGGGGAGGGAGGCATCAGTGAAGTGACGGCACAGTTGAAGAGGGTCGGGTGCCCTGGAGATGGAGCGCGGGGCCCGGATTAGCGCTGGGCTGGGAAGGGGCCGAACACAGGCAGGTGCTGGAGGCAGAGCATCGCCAGGTGGGTGTGCACGGCTCTACTGAGCCTCTGAAAGCGCGGCCAGGGCTCGTTTTAAAAACCTGTTATTGTCATAAACACCATAGAATTTGCGTTTTAATCATTTGAAGGTGGCAATTCGGTGGCGTCTGCTGCACTGATGATTTACGCAGCTTTACCATCGTCCAGATCTGCACAGTTCTCACCCCAAATGGGAGCCCCATACCCATTCGCCTCGGCCCAGGCCGCACCAGCTTTGTCTCCGTCCCCATACATATGCCCATTCTGGATATTCCACGTCAAGGGGATCATACAGTGTGTAACTGCTGTGTCTGCCTGCTGTCCCCTCGCTTGGTGTGCCCAAGGTTCATCCGTGTTGCAGGCGTGTATCAGTACTTCATGCCTTTTTACGGCTGAATGTACTCCACTGTATGGAGAGACCTCATTGTGTTTCCGTTTTACGCTGGTGGACAATTGGGTCATTTCCACCTTTTGGTGCTCCGAATGCTGCTGCCATGAGCGTCCATGACATACTTGTGTTTGAGAACTCTGGGTCCATCACTTTTGGGTCTGAACGTAGGATTGGAATTGCTGGGTCAGAGGGTAATTCTGTGTTTGACAGTTGAGGAAGCACCAAACTGTTTTTCCTAGTGTTTGGCACTGTTTTACATTACCAACGGCTCTGGTTTTCCCTCATCCTCCTGGCTAGGTGGTTGGTTGGTCTGTCTATCTATCTATCTATCTATCTGGGAGAGAGAGAGAGCTCTCATCATGATTCCCTCTCCAAATGCCAGAG